TTTTTGAGGGATTTTGGAGTGTGAGTTGAAGGGGTTGAATATATTTGTTAAAGTATTTAAGTATGCGTGAGACTCTAAGGTGTCTCTAGTGTGTGTGAAATATAGGTGTTGTCTAGTTACACAAATATAAAAAAAACTTTATTTTCGGACTAAAATTAATAGTAAGAGTTACATTTCATTGATTTTTTTTATCTGTTGTAAAAATGACATGAAACAACGGGTTTCGTCGAGAAAAATATATACTTTAAGTATTTTAGAAAAAAAATTGTAAAATACTCTGCCAAAATTCTCATAAAAGGAAGATTTTACTTTGTAATATACTTTTACATAAATAAATGTACAGTATTACAAATTGTGAAATACAATAAAAATAAAATTATACCCAGATTAATTTTTACTTACTGCAAAAAAAATTTAATCGGAAGAAAATTGTAATAAATACCATACTGAATAATACTTTTAACCCAATAATTTCAAAATAGAGAGATGACGATTTTTTTTTCAAATGCACCGATAACCATTTTTAAACATTCTCCCAAATCATTTACAAATGTAAGAAAACCCAAATAAGTTCTCTTTTACGGGTAAAAAATGTCTACACGTCAGATTTTTCACGCACGATTCAACATCGTCAAAATGAAGTAAAAATGACGGTGCGGAAAGGTTTTGAATACGAAATGACGCCCGAGGCATAGTGCGCTGTGTGTACATTGTACAACCCCCTGTTTGTTTGTGGAGATCCATCACCATCAAGCAAGTGGATGCAGGGTTGTACCGGTCTATGCTGTATCATGTTACTACAGTAGGGCAGCGGGTTACCTACATCGCTATTCGTCTAATTGACAGGGTGGGAAAGGTGTGGGAGTCAGGGGTGGATAATGTCTAGTCATAACTCGTAGTCAAGCTGTTTTGAAATATTGCGTAACATTTTTATAAGCCAGTGATTTTGTTCGGATTCGGTATCGTGAAATTTGTATATGCCAGTAATTTTGTTCGGATTAGGTATCGTAAAATATACGCCAGTGATTTTGTTCGGATTCGGTATCGTAACATTTTTATACGCCAGTGATTTCGTTTGGATTCGGTATAGTAACAATTTTATACGCCTGTGATTTTGTTCGGATTCGGTATCGTAACACTTTTATACGCCTGTGATTTTGTTCGGATTCGGTATCGTAACACTTTTATACGCCTGTGATTTTGTTCGGATTCGGTATCGTAACACTTTTATACGCCTGTGATTTTGTTCGGATTCGGTATCGTAACACTTTTATACGCCTGTGATTTTGTTCGGATTCGGTATCGTAACACTTTTATACGCCTGTGATTTTGTTCGGATTCGGTATCGTAACACTTTTATACGCCTGTGATTTTGTTCGGATTCGGTATCGTAACATTTTTATACGCCAGTGATTTTGTTCGTATTCGATATGAAACGTGCTAAAAAACTGTCGTTAAAAACGTAAAAATTGACTCAAACACCTATCTTAAGTTCAGCTTTAAAGCGCATGGAAAATTATTTTTTTGTTTAGAGAATTTGTTGGTATATATTACAGTACACATGTGTGGCAGTTACGACTTGTTACTACACTCTGTTAACACTATGTTAGTTTACTACATTAGATCTAGTTTCGTAAGGGGAACCTTTTTGATGTTTTAGTTGTATAGCCCACAAATATTGGAGTAGATTGCTTAAAAATTACTTTTGAAAAGTTGATGATTTAATGATTGTAAATAGGTAGATACGCAATAGAAGTTGAACAGATGTATGTTCCATAAAGCTGCCTGTTTAGGCATACATATACAGTATTTATCATTTGCAGTCGTTTTACTAGTTTTCTAACTAGGTATGTATTTACACAAACTTAGTATGTAAGACGTGTAAAAATTATTTCGATTTAATTTCTTGCAATAAAATGCTGTCGAATACGCATACTCTAGCATTTGTAAATACAAACATTTACAATTACACCACATTTTTGATTAAAAATGGTTTTTGCTATTTTTCCTCTATTAATAATCACCCAGTCATCATTCAGTTATTTTATTTTTACAGCAGAACACTTGGTTAAACAATGTATAGCGCTTGCACGCGGCAGAACCAGCCGTAGACATTTATTACGCCAGGTGACAAAGTAAACATAATGTTATGGCACAATGTAAATAGTATTTTTTACAAGCTAATAAATAATTTTGAAAATGTGTGAAATATTTTTCAAACTAACTTGTTTATACAGTACACCACAGCACGCTCTGTGTTCTGATGTAGACGAGAAAACTTACGTACAAATAAATAGTTAAAATGAATGTATATATATATATATATATATATATATATATATATATATATATATATATATATATATACACAACTATGTGGCAGGTGTATTTATTCTAAAATAATGTCATTGGTTATGGAAAAACATGTTATCGTTGCTGTATAAACCCACTTTGCTTTCAATTTATTAAAGTGTTAAAGTTATGAAAATAATATTGATATATTTTCATGTAAACAGTAGGACAACTACAATGTAGGTTATTCTTTTTTGTATAAATTTTGTGGCTTTTCTTTTATAAATTCAAACTATTTAACAAGTGTTTGGATTAGGCGGTATAGTACATCTTCCCGTTGCGAAGATAGGGTACAGCAGCTAGTTCTTTAAGTAAGAAACATTGTATCCTATACTGATTTTTTTAACGTTAGGCCCAAGCAAAAATTTGGTCCTGATTTTGGTCGTTGCCCATACACGAAATAGATCTTTATAGAAACTCCGCATTCTAAATTCTCACTGAAGGGAAGTATTCAAACCTGTCCGTTGCAACACTGAATCACTTGACGAAACTATCAAACCGTACACTCCCCCTTTGTTTATTTACATTGAACTAGTGGTGGTGAACCGGGCCCATTAGGTTAAGTGGGGCAGTGCGGGACTGGTTCCTGCCGTATCGGGTTACAAAGGTAAATAATCGCACTAGCTGCTCTAGGGCAGTAGCACCCCCTGCGTCAGCGACCCCTAATGGCTAGTAATCAGTCAGCGGCGGTGGTGTCGGAGTCGGTTACTGGGTGAAGGATGAGACTCTTGGGAAACGTCGGGGGTGACTCGTGAAAAATGTGTGGGAGAAGTTATAAACATATTTAGTCCCCCAGGCCGCAGCAAACCTGCAGACTAAGCAAATTTCCATTTACCTGATTGGAATCCTACTAAAATATTCCCTTTTTGTGTTTATAGTGACAAAATGAGAAACCCCTTTTTTACCTCATAAAACCCCCATGTTTCAATCAATAGTCCGATCATGCTGGTTCGCGAACTTGTTTGAGTAAACGTTGGTTTTGACGTAAATGAAAATCGGATCATTTTTGCTCGAGTTATTCCACTAACGGACACATATATGAATTTGAACGGAGTGTGTTTTTCGACTCTGGGAGCCTCAAAACGAAAAAGTAAATTGGTCCAAGGTCTAGGTCTTACCACGAGACCTACGGTTATATAATTTATCCATTCCAACGATCGGTCAACCACCACCCTGAACAAAGAAACAAAAAACGGAAAAACAAAGAAACTGTGCTACAGGTTACAACTTAACCTCGTAGGTTCGTAACGCGTTGTCCGAGCGTTACACAGCGTTACGCGGCGTCGCGAAGCGTTACCGCGTTGTCGGCGTCTCAAATAATTCCCTCATAAAGTGTGCTACGTTCCCCTCGAATCACATCTTAATTCAAACTCGGCCCATTAATTTTGCCGACACATTTTTTCACCGTTCCGCGAAACCAAACATCAACTGCGGACACGAATTGAATAAGAATGCCCTCATTAGCCGACCTAATTAAGATATTCGGCACGATTAGTATAATGGAGCATACTACGCCGGGCTTGCGCACAGCGGACCTGAGATATCAACAAATTAGCGGGCCGAGGTGGTGGGATAATTAATAATTTGTGAGTCGTACCGGGTTCGTTTCCTATGTAAATTGCATTAGTGTGCGCTTTGCGTTGCGGTCGTGTTGATGTTTTGATGAATACAGGAGTGGTCTTGCAGCAAACCTACGTACTGGTCGATTTTCTGCGTAAATAACGTTTATGGTCCTTCGATACCCCAAAAATATGTCAGTTCCCAAATACAAGTACAACAACAAAGTTTAAGTCTACACATGATGTATACCAAACCAAACATTTACTCTCAACCCAGACCTATGTAAAATACTCTATAGACCAATATACGTCAAATATATAAGTATATATTTTTATGTTATACATCTCCTGAAGGACACTAGTCTAAAATGAAAGATATCATAAAAATAACTAGAACAAAGTTACTACAACACCTTTCGAGTTTACTAGATTATAGAATTTAGACCTACTTGTCATTAATTCACGTTTCGAACCATCAAAAAACGTCAGATATATCTCATGATCAAGTTGCGGCCTTCTAATTATGATCGGTTATCACTAAAACCACCTAAGTAAACGGGTACAAAAATTATGCTTGAATATACGCAAAATACCATTCCCTAAGCAAGTGCTAAAATTTTATGCTTTGAGGCTGGCAATGTCGTAATAATGAATTTGAAGGGACTATGTGAAAATGAACGTACCTGCTGCTAACTGACAAAATACGCTAGATTTAGTGGAATTTTAACTCCAACTGACGTTGTTAAACACTAACGAAGCATTAAAACCGTTTCCGACAGAGTCGGATAAGGATTAGATATGCAAATTAAAATCTAATTAATTTAAATGTATCTGTAGTTTGTTAAAATATCTCCTCCTAATTTATATACAACTTTGAACCGACGATTCTTTTTTCAACAGGACAAACAAAAAATAACAACCTTAGCACTAATTAGATCTCTGGGCTCTTTATAATTGGAAAAGGGAATTACTACTCGGTTGGGGTTTTTACAACTTCTACTTAACTCAAAGTCGATATTTCAACTTGACGATCATGCGTAGAATTTGACTACAAATTTAGACTATTATAGTAAACATTTGGTAGTTTACCTTTTTCCGAGGTAGTCGCACCCCACACTGGGGGTTTGTGGGTTGTATCTGGTAACAAAAACAAGAAAAAATCAGAATAACTCAAAATCAAACAAACACAAAAAAATAATACAATAAGGAAAATAAACAAAAATACATATAGAACATAATATACAAAACTCGTGGTGGGATAAATTATTAAAACTGAAAGCTTACACTAAATGGTGGAAAATTGTGAAGGGTTATTTTACAACCACCGGTAACTTAAAAATGAAGAGAAAGTGGCGAATATATTGAGTTATAACAACTACTCTTTTTAAAGTATATATTTGAAATTTATGTTTTACTCTTTGGGGTAAGACAGAAACAAGCAACATACAGTAGCTTTTTTATTAAATTAATCGCCTTTGAAGGTGGCCTTTGATTAACTCAATCTACAAAACCAATAAGCAGACAGAACTAACTTAAAAACTGTCTTAACTGCTGACAATAAGCAGACAGAACTAACTTAAAAACTGCCTTAACTACTGAGATACCGTAATGTGATCACCTCAAGGGTTATCTTCTTATGGCAAAAGTAAACGAGCCACAAAATGCAAAAGTATTTGTTATGGTTGAAATTTAAAAAATAATTTCACACGTGTATATTTTTCTTTCAAATCTGTAGCATGATAGCATTGACTATTGGATACTGAAGTAGACTTCCCGTCTATATGGACCAGCCGTAGCCAATTTTTTATTTAAAAAGAGTGTAGTTGTGTGAGCCAGTCACAGAAAGTGCTAATGTTTTATTTTATACCTTGTATTTTGTTGCTGGCCAGGTTGATGGGTCATAACAGCTGCTATAACTCATCATAAGTAATTCCATGAGTTTGACTTGCTTAAAAAGATTGTGTATTCGGCAGAATTTAGTAATTTAGACCAGCACAATCTGTAGGTGGCTCACATCAACTACGACGATTTTGATAAAAAAAAAGCTGGCTGCAAATCTTACATGGGGATGGAAAGATTATAGTCTGTAAAATCTAGTTCGAACGCAAACGAACCACAATTCAAACAAATTCGCAGAAAAAAAACATAGCTCAATTAATTTACTACAGTAGCTCTCTCTAGAGAATGCACCTGCTGAGAATCAAGTCCCTAAAAAACTAGTGCGCAAGTAAACGAACCGAAAAACCCCCTGGGGATATTTAAATAACCCATATTTCCGAGAACCAGTCATCGTAGTGGGTCAACATTCAACAAATGCAGAAACCAGTAGACACATTGTAACGGACAAGGGCACTCGATAGCATCCTGGGCATCAAAAGGGCCATTTCGACCGATAATGGGGCTTAGCATATGATTACCACGCAAGATGGACACTGGACAGGTCTCGTCAAAGCAACCGCAGGCCCCCGCTGGGAGGATTATAATTTTGCAATCCTCCTGTTTAGCAGACAAAAGTGGCGCTTGGTAATCCGAAATATGATATGCGAGGGGAAGACCGGTTGGAACAACGTGCAATTTTACTTTTAACTCTTAACCACCTAGGGGATGTTTTGGGTATGTGAAACTCTGGAGAATGGGCAAATCCTTCTTCAGGGTGTCCACAGAAAATTTGTCATTAATTTCCATGACTTTCCATGACCATTTACCATTGATTTCCATGACTCACAAACTTTATTCAAACATTATAATATAACACACACACACACACACACACACACGAATAATACTGCCTAGACAAGTTATTTAACTGAAAATACTGAAATATGTATTAACAGATAACAATGAAGTTACAATATGTACAACAATGAACTAAAACAAACCCAAAACTCATAAACTAATGCAACTGTGATAAACTTAATTGTCGTACATTTGTGAAACATCCTGAAAAAATGCTACAATAGTAGGGGCTACGGCCGACTAGAGCATTGAAAAGTCCCCTCAAATCCTTGGGGTGGGGATTTCCATGACTTTTGCCTATTTCCATGGCCAGAATTTTTTTCCATGACTTTCCAGAATGTGGACACCCTGTCTAGGATGCAATCATTACAGGAATGCTATCAGTTGGCTCAAACTAATTGATTGTTATATTTTACATATTCACTAGGCTAGTGTAAACATTTTGTAGCAAAGTTGTAACATGTAACGCGTCACAGGTTGTAAGCGAGTTGTAACGTGTAACGCGATAATCAGCTTACCTGCAATCAGGCTTATCTCAGCACTTGCGGGTCGCGTCATTCTATTAACGCTCGCTGCCACACGTGTCAAAATTGCAATTTCCAAAATTGGAACCCCTTTCACGATTCCAATCAGGAATGGAATAGGACACGATCAATTCATTTCTGTACATGAAGTGTCCATTCAACTTTTCGTTCCATCGCATTTCGTTGTAAGTGACGTAAGAAAATAATGAGTATGGAAAAAGTACTCCTTATTATCTAGGGATCCTCTAATTGGTTGAAATCCAGGCCTTGCTAGGAAAGGTAATGGCTAAAAGACATCTTCAGAAAAGTGCGTTCCAGAAAAGTATATTTTCCCCCCGAGATATCAATTATCAATCGTTGAGTTGGGGACGCAACCTAGGCCCCATGAGTGTAGGATGTTGTGATATGATCTGTGTAGCTTTGTTACTGACTAAAATCAGGACAAAAAACTGACCAGGATCATTTATGATCATCAAGTTTCGAGCTATCAAAAGCTACTGACTTTTCTCAGGATACACCTAACATATTCTTTGGGAGCCATGATGCCGAAATGATCCATTGACCATGTTGAAGATATGGCTTATCTTCAACATTCTTTAGTCCTCCGTTTTTTTTTTTCTGAGCAGAGCCTTTCTGACTAGGGTTGGTCATGAGGTATCCACCCACAATCGCTCCCGCCTTTTAAATCACACAAATTCCAATACGAAAACGATACTGCAAAACGAAATTAATTTCGTATATGAATAACAAAGGGCGAAAGAGTGCAATTTCGAGTAATTCTTGAACCCAACAGAGTTATCGGGAATTAGATTACATTGTTTATGCGCAATTCAACCAGAATGCGTTCAACAAATTAGAACTCGGCCGCGCTGGCCCGCGTGTAATGTGAGTTTGTGAATAGAACCATCCGTGTGTGTGCTCATGTGGCTCATGTTCCGTACTTTGTGTTCAGTTCCCATTGTTGCGATTCATCCGGCAAATCTCTCTACATTTAGCGTTACCATCACATGTGTTTGTTTTGGGAGGAAGACGAACTATAATACTGTATATTGAATTTACTTGTTTTGTTGGTGCGGGTATTTCGGGTAATATGTTAGTTGGTTTTGAACAATGTGGAATTTGGTGTACAATGATTTTTTTGTCCTACTTCTATAGAGATGTGTTTTGGATTGGAGGTAGAATTTTAATGATAGTTGGTACAAGTATTTCGGGTAGATAATAGTACAAGTTCGTTTATACTAACACGTAGCTAGATTTAGAAACAAAATAATACTGTACAGCAAAATACGGTACCAAAAATACCAAGTAGGCCTAACATGTTCATGTATACAAAATTATATAATCGTGACGTGACAGTGTGAAATGGAAATTATTTTTGGCGAACTGGCATGTCACTGTAACCTTCCACAGAAGAAAAATATATAACTTTCATTCTAGCAAACTGTATCCCATCGAAAAGAGTCATTGATTGCTCATCCGGTTTGCCAACTTAAATATCCAACGCAATTTTACTGCTAACCGGTACACGTGTGTGAAAAAGGGGCGGGCATTAATTGCGCCAACTGACCACCAACTACTAAAGGGAGCCACCCGATAAGTTCAATAACTGGGCCCCTTCTTTGACTGTATGATTGAGAAGTTAGGCTAAAGGTTTGGTTAGGTTAGGTTAAGTTAGGTTAGGTTTGGTTTGGATAGGTTAAGTTATAGGTTTGGTTAGGATGCACGTAAACAAGGTTATTCCTCCTGCCAGCAACTCACTCCTACTAGGCTTGGGCTTGGCACAAGGAACATTTTTAGGACACTTTGAGGGCTTGGCGCAATTAAGAAACTCTTTGGCGTAATTAATGCATGACCTGAAAAAATACATCAAGTGACCAAGACTATTCGCGATAAGTTCCATAGAGAAGCTCGTGACTGTGAAAGATGAGGCAGGCATGTTGAGTTGTTTGTTTTGCGAGGTCACTGGTCTAGACCGGAGGATCAAGATGCGTCTGTCAGATGCTTTGTCATTTCCGCCTGTCAGTGCCCTTGGCTCTCTCTGGCTGTGGCTGCTGCAAACTCAGCTGATGCGTTGTCTGCGCAGTTCGGGTACATTGACACAAACTACGTCTGAAGGGAATGAGAAATTGTTGCAGTTACGTTACTTTTTTGCTGATCTTTAGAAATTAAAACTAGTGCACTTTCAAGACCTTCCAAATTGGCCATTGATGTCCTGAATTATGTTACAGATTAAACAATTTCTCAAGAAACGTGGTGAATATAATCATTAACTGTGTTTTCCTTTTTGTGCAACTGTTTTTCGCCTAAAAGACTAATCATCTGGCGGTCCCAACATATAGCCTACTACTGATTTACAACTATTCCGAAAACTATTAAGTGAAGTTGATTTACTTTCGAAAAAGGTTTCTAGACCCCTTCGTTGAAGTTCTGCCGTAACTGCAAAGGTGTGAAACTTCTTTTTGGATTTTCTGCGGGTTTGTTACGGGTGTATTGGGATTTAGATCTGCAAATTGAAACATGAGACATTAGTGAATGTGTTAATGTCATTTTAATTTTATTTGCAGGTTTTTCCGCATGCACACTGAGTAATTAGTTGATTAGTTTTATAGGAAATTCCTATGAAATTAAAACCTCAAGATCTAATTGACGATCAAGATTACCTAATATCTCGTATCCCCCTCAGTCCTATTTTAACCGTCTACTCCCATCTCTGCGTCTCCGGTGATATACAAACGCATCAGATAAATGACCCACTGTATCACCACTCCACTGGCAACAGCGTCTTCAGCCTTGCAAACGCAATAACTCAGCGAGTAAATGATCGCAGATTCCTCGTATGCAATGTGCAATAGTGGCGCCTTGCGGTTTTGACACATT